CTGTAAAAGACATCATCATGATAGATGAACACATCGAAAATAATACTTTGGGATCCACAAATAATGTTCGCGGACCCCTAAATCTAAAAGTACTATTAATATTAAATTAAAAAATAATGCGCATATATACACAGTAACAACGACTGCTCACACATAGAAATGAAAGGTGAAAACTGATTTATGCCTAGCATACACGAGTTCCATACATTCCTGGGTAAAAGTCTGCCCCCCCCCCCCTTTTCGCTCTTTTTTTCTCTTTTGTTTGTTTAATATCGAATTTCATGAGATTCTGTCGACAGGAGCGAGGATTTTATTATTTTGTACACTCTATCGTTGATCGCTGTCATTCATTCAAGGTTTCACAGACATTATCATACTATTGACCAATAGAATAACAATGTCCGTTAATATAATCGTCTACATTTTTTTATTTGCGCGTTTCATTTTAAGAATACTTTCAATATTTATCGTGTTCTAGCGGTTAGACTCTCTTTCTAGTAATCACTTATATATTCTGCTTAACACGACTGAGAATATTAGGTAGATAGTACCAATAAAAGCACAAGATATATTTTAATGATTCTTAAAATGAAACGCGCAAATAAAAATATGTAGACAATTATACCAACAGATATTGTTGTTGTTGTTGTATTGGTCAATAGTATGATAACACCTGTGAAATCTTGAATCAATCACATACTGATCAGTGATAGACAGAACAAAATAAAGTGCTCAATCCTGTTGATAGATTCACAAGAAATCCAATATTGAACATATAATATAAAAAAAAAGGGGGGGGGGGGGGGGGCGGGGGACACTTTTGCCCAGGGATGTATATGTGTCTTTTTCTCTCATCTGTTTTGTATGTGTATCCGTTGGAAAAAGAATGTGAAGAAAACATTTTACACAGTACGTTGTTACCATAAAGTATTTTTCTGGTGTTCTCGACTATCCTGTACTAAGGTCTGTTATGAGCTGAAAGGTGTTGATTGATAGCTCTGAACATTTTCGAAGTTGATCTCTTTATAGATAAAATTTGGTGGGATTCAATATTTATATTCTGCTATCATTGCTCCTCAATGATTTTAGAAATCGGGTACAACATATGTACTGGTTTTGAGTATTCTTAAAAAACTCTTGGGTTACTTGAACTTTCATATATTTAGACTCTTTTGACTTTCATATGACTTTCATGACTTTGATGATATAAAAGTCACTTAAGTCACCAAAGTCAGTCGTTTCCCCCTTGCAACTATTTCATTTGAAATATAATATTTCAGCACCAGTGACGATTGGCCTCTTGTTTTGACTTGTGAAAATATCTTCTTCGATATGAGAGACATTTGCTGCCATACCAATTGGAAGGTATTCGAGAGTATTTTGCTTATACTCCAAACGTTCTGAGTAGACGAACAAAATAGAACAACAGTGAAAAAATGATATTGCCAGCACGTAGGTTTTATAGCAGCTATCAAGAACAAACTCACAAAATGAAAGCAGAAAGGGAAATGTAAACCTATATTACTTTATCATATAATCGAAAAATTAAAATAAGTTAGAAAAACCAGATATATTATCATCTATGCCATAGATATGTATTTTATGTGAAGAAACAAAAACACGTCTACGAGTATTATCAAGAGGCATGACAGGCGAGATGGGAAAATATAGAGCGAATGAATGGAAAGACTGGTTAGTTGCCATTCAACAGACACACGATATTAAGGATAAAATGATTTTTAGTCGTATCTGACTCGTATCTATAAGTCAGGCGCACTACCGTTTTATAAATTGTTGAGTGTTAATAATAGTACTATCAGAGCAGAACGAAATAATTGCATAATTATTACCGTGAGTAGTTCAAGGCATCCTCGATCGACTACTCAGATGCACATGAAGAGAAAATTTCAAGTGAATACATTGAAATATTGAGCATATCTATCAAATTCTGGTGAACAAACGGAGAAAATAAGTACCGAAGAGATTATACAGTTAATGAGCTATCTCGAATCGAAAAAATCAACAGGTTATGATAAAGAGACTTTCTCCGAGAAATTTGAAATGACTTGTAAAGTGTTTTAACCAATGGCTAAGAGCATACAGATACTCAGATGAATGAAAATTAGCTAAGATAGCCACCCTAAATAAATTAAAAGCAGATATTCCAAAATACGACCAAACCTGCCCAATTTCCTTATTAGCAACATATTCAAAACTTTTCGGAAAATTAGTACTTGATAGAGTTAGATATTGAACAGAGATGAACCAAATAGTACCAGTATGTCTTCTACCCACAAGGGTTTTGTTAACTTATCAAGAAGTAAAAAACTAAATGGCTGCCAACATACCGACATCAGCTATCTATGTAGATAACCATAAAGGCTATAGTCGTGTATGGCACGCGGCTCTTTTCACTAAACTATGAAAACTAGTAATACCTGCTAGTATGTCGAAAATGATAATATACTGGCTAAAAAATAGGACCACGTAGGTAGTGTTTGCAAAGAAAGTCACGAGAAACCTATTCTATAAGAATTGTGCTGCCTCATGGCAGTAGTCTTAACCCTTGCCTATTTATTATGATCCATTCTGATATACTGCTATACATAGGAGCACATTCAGGTCATCTTTTTGCGGATGACCATTGTATAATCATGAGCCTATAAATTTTTCAAAAACAGTAACACAATTGTTTTATACACAGATAAGAAAGGCACAAGTACACATAGAAATGAATAGGCAATAAATCGAATTAGTAAATAAATTTAAATATCTAAGATTCACATGGAGAAACAAATTATCCTTGAAACCAACAATCTATACATGTATAGAGAACATTCAGAGATCCCTGGGGAGTTTAGATGATTGAGAACAAAACGGTTTATTTCCACCAAAGCGCTTAGACAATATTTTTTCGCGTATCCATTTTCTCATGACGCATGAATATTTCCCTTCTACCCATTGTTTCCAGAGTGATAACAACAACTACTAAAATGATATGTTTCTTTAGGATTATCTTCGTAAAATAAAGAAGAATCACCTTGGTCTGTTTTTTCTTAGTGATCTGTCCTTAAAACGCTTACGAGGGTGCGAATCTCAGAATGAAAAAACAACCCACATCCATTATGATCTCGTACTTTCTTAGGCTCAAAAGATAGCCAAGAAAAGTTAAACCATGACTCAAAATTGAAGGTTTTTCGTTTGATATTGTAAAAAATAATAGATGTGACTTTTTTGACACCTCCACTCAAATCCTAAAAACTCGTGGAGAAATATTGACTTTAATTCGGGCTTCAAATCCTTCTTCGATATTGACATATGTTTTTAATGTCATTATCTGTATACCAAATTTATAGCTTGTTGAAACGTAAGAAGGTAATGTATGAAAAAGTATCACTGTTTGGTCAGAAAAAGTTTACTTTGTGCGACGTTCAGTATTTCAATTTGTACATCTCACAAATACGATTTGTGCGCTGGATAAAGTGATCAAAAGGCTTCACAATTAGGTTTAATTTGATATTGAAAATTTTCAGAACACATCGTTTCAATGAAAGCAAAGTGTGAGACTACATTAGTCATGAAACTTTACGATGCATTGTCTTGCTTATATTGTCATCGATCGTGCTCATAGTGAAACAATGATCTTTGATTCATACGTAGCGACAAAGTTCACGTATAATTTTGCGTCTGATGAATATCATCCGACAGAAACTTTGACAATATAGTTTTCGATAGTTTCTACTAACTGTATTTCATAGCAATCGTTTCGTTGAAAAATATTGATAATTATTTGGTATTTAACATTTTCAACGATTTTGCATGACATATATACTATAAAGGATCAGCAAATATTTTTTTTTCTTGGTTTACATTAATTGATATACTACTGGCACTGATACAATCAATGTTTTATTTCAACAATAAAAAAAACCTGTAGTTAAGTTGTTTGTTTAAACACTAATCTATACTGTGCTAAAGGCAGACACTGCAGAAAACTAAGTCATATAATGTTTACACGTCTCTAGTTTTTATGATTGCATTTTACAAAAATCAGAAGTTTTGAATTCCACATTTTGATCACGAATGGAGCCACATTGACATACTTTTTTTCAAAGTAGAACATTTGTATTTATGTGTTTGCTAGATTACGACAAAAAAGAAATCGTCAACAAGACATATCGAAAGAGAAGAAAGCAAGAACAACAAAAAGAAGCATATGTGGAAGGCAACGTTTGTAGCAGAGTGTCATGATTGATTAATTCTACACCAGTAGACACGAGAAAATTATGCAAAAAAATATGAATACCTTGATGAAAATACCATACACTACAAGTATGGAAAATGAAAAAAAATGACAAAATATGACTGATACTAATTTATATTACCATTCCAAGCGCTGAGAAGTTTGTAGTGGTCTTTTAGTATTTTCGAGATTATGTTCATCAATGACTTAATTATTTCTCATTTCTCATTTAATTCTTCAACAATTACGGTAGAATCTGTTGAAATCGATTGTATAGTCATCTATTTTATTAAGAACGAATTCTAATTAATTTTGTAGTATCTTCTATCATTTAATACTTTTATATCTTAATGCCAGAAGACGATAGTTCGATCTCTCACATTTTTCTTTTATAATCATAAATTGGCATTACTAACAGAATACATAGAAATGGTTACTAGCTGCTCATTTCTCATTAGTCAATACTGATACAATAAATTAAGAACTTCTTTAAGTCTGAACATTGTCTTGCTTTTTCTAAGCGATATTTTTTCATAGGATATGTTTTGAAAAGGAACAGATATTCGTTATTTAGCAACTTTCATGTCACCAGATACTTGGCATTGAGTAACTTTTCGGTTATCATCATATGGCAACGTAACTGCTCGAAACGAGTAACAATCCAATATACCTTTTTGAATAAATGAATAACATAGAATTAAGCATGACTATTCAAGTATAAATAATATAGATTAATTGTTAGTGAGTTAAAATCGAATTAAAATTTAATCCGATCAAATTTTAAATCCGATTGTGCCGATGAATCATCATCACATCGGTCGGACAAATTTGTTTGCTTTTTGTGTCTACGGAAAGTTCGATGATGTTGGTAAGTTGCGATCTTCGCTGCCGAGTTTATTTGATCAGGGCTTATATTCGATTCCATATCTTTTATTTTAATGATGGTATCCGGCGCTATTGAAGACTTTGAAGATTGATTTTCAACCGTATCTATGTCTTGGTTTCGTGAATGATAATAAGAAATAAACAAATGTGTAATAGGCGTACAACCAAGCTTGATAATAAGATACGCTATTGCAAATAGTTCGATGACTAGAGTACAAAAGAGCAACGTATGAAAAGCAAGTTCGGCAATACGAATGATCGGATATTGATTGTTTTGAAGAAAAAATGGCTGTTCGTTGAATGTAAACGTCAATGTCGTTCGTTGAGAGGCATAACGAAGATAATATCCATCTTGTTCATAGATCATGTCATCCGAAAGTGAACTGTCTCCAAATGTCAGTGTCCAACGGCCATCATATCGTGATTCATCACCAACTTTAAGTGGCTTAGTTTGATTGACGACTTTAATGAGTACGACAGAAAGTGTTGCAAAACGTGACACTGTTTGATTTGGCGTCCAGAAAAATTGACATACGTCAAGTTTATGCACTGTATTCACGCCATCAATATGATGAGGACCGCGAAGACATAAACGAAATCCACCAACAAAGTAAGGTCCAGTAATATTGAGCTGCACATTTACACGATGTGCAGGCAAGACGACGCTAACAGATCGTGTAATATTGTCCGGCTGAAGAATGCAATTACCTTCAGCGATGGGCATGTGTAAATACTTGACACCTGGTCTATTCTGCTGAAAAGTAATATTCGAACAACTGGCTTGTGTATTTATTAGATCGACGGTCATTGTAAATGGTTGCGCGTCAAGCATATCAAAAATAGCCCATCGGCTTCCATCTGGATTTGGTAGTGGTAACTGTAGAGCATTGTCAAATATGGCATTATGAATCGTCTTGTCACACGAAGCATACATTTCACTTGCCGTTTCAATTGGATATAATTTGATATATTCAGCCGAGAACCAAAAAACAAAGGCGAAAATGACAAGAATAGCGAATGAAAAGATGCCACCTATCCATCGTTCACCGTCGTTTACAATGTCTGTGTTTTTGAAGAACTGTTTGACACGATTTCGGTGACGACTTGCAGTTCGACATCTATTCATTTTCAATGCAACCATAATGAGCCAAACGATGAAACATAAAATGATGGCTAACATTGCCCAAAATCCAGGTGCGATTATGAGACAACGAATTGAACGATCAATAGTGAACATATTTTGCACGAGAATATCATCATAATTGTTCATGTCGGGTGAGTCTGGATAAATGAATGTTTGTGTGTATGATGGATGCGTATTAAATGAAACAGTATCGTCAACAGAACCCATTGGACAGAATGCACTGGGTGAACATGGACTGCATTCAGTACATGGTCCATTCATTGGATTCTTTGTTTGCGGTGGACACACAATACACGGCCCTACGCTTGAAAAATTTCGGTATGTACCAGCTATGCATGGTGCCTCGTCAAAGACTAATATACGGTATGGATTATCACTTCCTACAGAGTAGAGACCAGATACTCTCGATAATGCCAGTATTGCTCGAGCTTGATCAGTCAGTACATATAAGTTTCCAGACCAAGAAAGCATATGAAGGAAACGAGGCGAGGACGACATTGTTATTCTTTGCTGATTGTTCGGAAAGACAAAGAGAGGTATGGTAAATGGAAGATTTATATCGAATATCCATACTTCCGATTTAGACCAAGGTCGATCAGCAACATTGAGAAGGGAAATGGCCACTGTTTCATTATCGAGCCAAGCTACTGAACGACCAAAGCCCATGTTATGTTGAGATAATTCATCCATGCGAGTCAAATTAAACTGTAAATTATCATCAGTCGAGTCAGAAGAGCAGATATTGAATAGAAAGACTCTGTCAAATAGTGGCACACCAACGATGGCCATTCGACGTGTTGTACTGATAGCTACTGACATATCATTAGCTTGATTATAGTTAGTCGCCTGATCTAAACTTTGTGCGTCGCCATTATTGAGATCCGCAGCGTCCATAAAACCTAATGGCTGTAGATTGAAGAGTACAGCAGTATAGAGAGGTAGAACTTTTACAAAGGGCAAAATCAAAAATCCAACAACAATTCCCCAAGAATCAGTGACATCCAATGCGTGTGGTATAATCGGAGACGACGTAAATAAATTAGTGTTGTTAATGAGTTGATCAATTCTGTTATTAATAATATCGAATGAGAGAATGAACGAATCGGCAAATACGTATGCATATTGTTGAGAGGGACTAAGTTTAAGTAACATATATTGTTGGTGTGTGCCAGACCAAATGTATGTATTAGTTATATTCCAAACAACTTCTGTCGATGATTCTAATAAAGAATATAAAATACAAAAAATATCAACAAATTGACTAATGATCTCTTTCTCGTTGAATAACTAGGATATTACAAGTTGAATCTTTTAATCTCTATAAAATAATTGGTTGATTCATTTTTTTAATTAGTTTAGGTTTTAGTTTATGAATATAAGCAATTTGATATGCTCGCCGATTATTTTAGTACTTATTTGAATCCATTAGAAGGGAGTGAGATTAAAATAACTCGACATCAATTGAGAACATCATTTTGATTGATTTGGATTATTTTAGATCGTCTATTAATGTTTCAATCAATTTGCTTAACGTTTACACTTTACGAGTTATTGACTTTTGTCTCGTACAGTCTACTTGCCAGATCAAAGTAAATCAGTAGATATGGTCAAACGTACGAAAATAATATTTTAAATTGTCTCATATATCAAACAAGAATGATTCACAAAAATAACTTTGTATAGTTCGAGTATGTGAAAAAGTCCTACATTTAGACAAAACATACCACAGAGTGTTTTGTTTACCACGATGATACTAAAGAAAACATCTGATGTTCTTGTATCTTCAGCTATTTGTACTATTGTGTAGAGATCATAAGTGTTAGTATCGTTGTTAAGTAACACTGATACACTATAGACATAGGCATAAATATTCGGATAATAAATCGAACACCAGGAATAAATCGTGAATGGAAAAAAACTAATCGCGTAAGAATAATAATTATTGTATGCAAAAATGACAAATTGATCATTGCCTGATATTCTTACACCATGTGCACCATCATCATCATATTCATAAAGCTGTTGACATTTGATTAAAGTTAATGAGAACAACAACACTATTGATACAATCCATGAGACGAACAATCTATTGTACATGTACATCTCCAAGCGTTGAATCTAAATATATAAAACAAATTGCTTGTTAAGTATTAAAGAATAGACAATTTAAATAGAATTCATTAGATATTTTTACTTATGAAATAATCTCGACAGCAATTATTTTACCTTTGGTATATAATAAAGTTGTCTTCAGAAATATTGATTATGTGGCAGAATATATTCCGATGAATAATTGTAAAGATTTATTAGAACTTCAAATTTTGATTCATAATTTGATCATAATATATTCATAAATATATTGAGTTATTTATTTTGACAGTATGACATCGATAATTATTTCGAATAATGAATTTATTTTGTAATATGTATAGAATCAATGATTATTATGCCAATTAAATTTTATAGAAAATAATATGAATAAAAATAAATAGATTTTATCGAAAGAAAATAATTTCAACGATCTAGATCATATAATAAAATATCATGCATGATAATAGAGTACGATGACCAAAAAAGAATATTAATTTATTCATATAGAAATTAAAGCATATATAGACTTTATTCACAAAATTATTTCAATACCTACAACTTTTATTGTGCACAAGATATATTGAACAAAAAAAAAACATAATTTATTTTCTATTAACCTTGATGATTTACCATTAAATAGTTCGAACTTTTTTTGTTTTTTATCATCGAGATTAAAAGTCAAATATTTCTAGTTAGGATTTAAATATTTATTGTTGTTTTTCAAAAAAAATCTTCTTTTTCAATATTTAAACTTTGTTATAATATATAAGAAGTATATTTAGTTTTCGAATAATTTTCGATAGAAACAAGATAGAGTCTTAAGATTTGTTACGATTGGAGAGAAAAGATGAACGCATATGGATTCATCTATGTTATACTTTATAGTTTTTACAAAGATCCACACTTTCAAATCGATCACCAGAAAGATAATTATCTTTTTAGAATATTTATGACGATTTTTGGAAAAATTTACAAAAATATGACTTTGTTTTTTCGTTGTTTTATAGAAAATATCTCCTTGTCAATCGATTTGAAAATTAGAATTTTTGAAAAAAATTTGACACAAACTCCTAAGAAAAAATTATAAAAAAATGTCTAACATAAATAAATCAATGTGTCTTTATCTTTTCTTTTCAAGAATAAAAATCGTAAAACTCTATCTTATCTCTATGATAATTTATTCGAAAAATAGTTATACCTTTTCTATATTACAACAAATTTTAAACCTTGGAAAAAAAAACTTTTTCAATTTTAACTCCATAGAAATATTTCATTTTTATGTAAATCATAGAAAAATTGTCAATCTATCAAATAACAAAATCCTCAAGTTGATATAAAATCATCTGTTTTTATTTTTATTAAAAATATCTTCTACATAACTTGACACGTTCAGATTTAAATCTACTTATAACATAAAACTTGTTAAGAAGTATTAGAATGAGATTTTATTATCTTTCACATTATGCGTTATTCTCTATATTATAATTATCCTTGTTGGATAAGGTCTTATATATATATATATACAATTCTATTATGCAATAATATGTAATTGTATTGTTCCTTTTCTATTTTTTT